CACCCTTTTTGGAAACATTAACTATATTGACTGTACAACTTTAATCTTGATTGGACTTCTTTTGCAGTGGAATTTATAACATACTGGCAAGTTTCTTTCTGTACATATTTCTGTCAGGGATGTTTTTTAAAAGCCCAAAGGGAGAGACTCTTCCTAGATGAACATTTGTGGTCATATCTTCTGTTAGTAAAGAGGAAAAGTTAATGGTAACTATAACTCTGTATATGCAGAATTTACTGTGCATCAAAAAGCGTTACTACGTGCCTGCCACTAGAGGTCATGTATTTCCTGGTGAAACAAACTATGAGGCAGATCCAGTTTAATTTCGTTTTGTTGAAACTGGGAACTGGGCAGAAATAAAAGAGAAGAGACTGCCCAGCTTTAGACAACACTGAAACTAGTGTTTCTGAAAAGAAATAAAATACTTAGTTCTTTATTGATCTATCCATTAGATTCCAAGGGAAGGGAAAAATTCGTGGAACTTACTGTGTGAAAAATCAATGGCTCTGGTAAGGGATTTGTTGCATTAACTCCGAATATATTTATGGGTCAAAAACCATGAAGCTTACAGAAAACAGATGAGGTTTGGTTAAAAGTAAAAGATCACAGCATTGAGACAAAACCAGAAGTTTCCACATGAAGGCATATTCATTAGGCAGCTTTTAATTAACATTAAAAAGCAAATATGAAAATTAAAAGCTGTACTTGGAAAAAAAAGACAACTCAAATCATGGGAATAACTATAGGAATTAATTGTAGGATATTGGTTTAATCCTTTTATTTTTACTGACTAAGTAATCAAATGAGCATACACTTAAATGCATTTCAGTTCATGATACCTTGGTTGGACTTCCCAAGAATGAAAACGGCATAAGATTCAGATCCATTACTAATATCTTAATGAAGATAATTGTTCAAGAAAGTATCTCCTTTGTCATATATTCAAAACAAGAGAAAAGTTGATACTGCTTCTTTGGGCCTATACTGGTGTCAGAATTACACACAGGGCAAATTAGGAGCTATATTACCATAATTTACATACATACAAAATGCTAAACAAGCAGCCCATGATTGCCCTGAGACACAATGTAATTTGGAGGTACCTTGAGCTAATTAGATCGTACAGGAGAAGAGTACATAGCTGTAGGTTTGCTTTGTTCACTTTTAAAATAATAAGAGTGTTCAAAAGGAAACAAAACCAGATAATTTTTACATAAATAAGTAGAAAACTTCATACAGGCAATCAAAATGTAGGTTTTACATTTTTTCCGGGACAAACACATTATCAGGACTGGAGTGGAATTAAAATTGTACTAGTAATATACAACAATGAAGATAGTCAAGAGAAAAGATAACTAATATATTAAACTCCTGGTTTTACAAGCCAATGAAGCAGGTTTATTTGTATTTTATTCTGACTCTCTCTAGTTGCTAACATTACTCATTCCACATGCCTGTTCAAAACAGGCAAATACACTTGCTAGAGGTGTTAATGCATCTTAAATACCACAAAGTGTACAAAAACTCAAGATCAATTTTCTTAATTGGAAAAAAACGACGCAGATGCAAAAGAAGATTCTTCATTTAAAAAAAGAAAAAAGATAGCACCTTTTTTTCACAGCTTCCTTTGCATGAATTCTGACCTAGGTCAAATGACAGAAAATTATGTGGAGAGAGAGGTTACACAGTAGACATGAAATAATCCACAGATGAGGGATTTTACTCAGGGTGTCAAGGTATCACAAATAAAGTTTTGCAAGTACTTGTGGTCTGAAACATTCAGAAAACACTGAAAAGCTTCCTGGAAATTGTGTTCTAAGGATCTCAGGTAATCAGCTTTGCATCTTATTTTATAGCTGTGAGAGTCAAAGGGAGTATTGTACTGACAAAATGTTGTGCCATGTTTCTGGGAGATAATCTTGCAATGAGAGAGTGGGTCTGTGCACCGCTTCCTCTCTATATGAGAGGGGATGGCTGTGAGATTCTTGAAAAAAAATGTTTTGAATATGCATTTTTTCCCCTATCTGCCTTATCTGATGGTAAGACATTATTGTCATAATTTTCTCAATCCCTTTCGAAATTCAGAGAATGGTAGTTCTCGGACTTCAAAATGCAGGTCTATTTCTTAAGCAAAACCACAGGTATTATCTAGTACTCCCATGATTACAAAAATGTGACACACCATGATACAACAGGAGAACTCCTATGATGTGTGAGACTGCAGAAGCTGTAACTGATCAAATAAAACAGTGTAAATTTAGAATGTGGCTAAATTTTAGAATTCTTCCACAAATTTAGCAAATTTTTTTTAATATTTGTAAGTGTCTCCACAAGGTGTTCCATATTAATTTTATTGTATTCTTTTGACTTAAACATCCTTTTTTCCCCCCTAGTATATAGTTTCAATTCCCACTTTACACTTTGGATCATAAAGGGACTTCCTAGTTAATCAGTTCTCATGTCATAACCCCAGTCATAACCTCATCCAAAACTTTAGAATTCACTAAATCCATTATTAATTGGTTCCAAAACACATCTCTACTGAAGATTAAAAGCCTTCTAACTTTAAGAGAAAATTAATTGATGTCAGTTTGCTCATTTGTTCTGAAATCTTCTGTTGCCTTTTTTTCTCTTTCCTGGTTGTGTATTTCACAGAGCACTTCACTTTGCTAGATTGAACCAGTTGGTTTCTTTTAATTCTTTCTGGAAAACAAATTTCTCTAGTAATCTTTCTGCATGTTTTCTCCTTCAAAAGTGATTTCTGGGAAGCTGAGTATGCAATTGGCACACACTATGGAGGATAACAGCTTGTAGAACAACTTTAGCAGGTATCTCTGTTTGCAATATACACATAAATTGCTTATATTTTTGCCCTTTTCATGAGCATTGTCAGTCTAGCCAAATAGATTATTCACCTCAGAGTCTATTACCACTTTTTGTCTGAGCACTCTAGACACTTTCCCGGAAACCAATCATATTTTGTCATTTTCAGGTAGATTTTGTAACCAGTCTTGGATTGCCAGGAACTTAAAGTTCTGTAATAGCTTTAAACATGGTCTCAGAGTAAAGCAGTTTATAATGGCTGGTTGAATCTACTGCATTTCTCTGTAAATTGCTTTTGGGGACATAACCAGTGCAAAAATACATCATATTTTATTCCCTATCTCTCCCTCTCTGTCCCTGTGGCTTTCTTCTAAAATCTGTGTTCTGCTAGCATGGTATAAATTCTCAAGAGTTCACTCCTATTGAATTTCCTAGATTATTCAATTCCCTATTTAATTCCCAGACTAGGCCTATACTGGACACCGCAATGCTATCCTCCCCACTTTTCTTAAAAATGTTGGCTTCATCTGAACACTTTATTTTTCATAGTGAGTTCCACTCACTTATCTTTTTCCCTTCTGTTCTGTCACCTTCCTGTGGTGATAAAACAAAACCACCAGCTGACAGGTAGATGAAGATAACAACAAACCTAGCTGACCTGGTAGATAAAGGGAGGTTTTCGGGTATCCTTAGCAGTATAGTAATTTAGCAATTTTGTGGATTATTCTTACTACTCTAGAATGTAGGCACTCTAGCAAAGATCAGGGTATCACTTCTAATGACATGCCCTACTTTATTTTAATTAGGAGGACAAAAAACCAATCAATAAAGTGCAAACAAAAAAAGAAAACTCTACTAAAATATTCTTTCTGAAACAGACTAGTGTGCCAGCTGGCTCAGGCACATCCTTAGACCTCTCACAAAGCTGTTAACTGGGATATATCTTGATAACCAGCAGAGGAAAAACCACTCCAGATTATAGCCTGAAATGATAATAAGCTAGTTTCAGAGTTTGGGCATTGTCAGTGACCAGCAGATGAATGCTTAACTGGAGAGCAGCTATCTGAGCTCCTGTGGGCTTGGGAAGGTCTTTGTGGGGATGGAGTAGCACCTTGAAGGGACCCTGTGGTGGCCTAGGAGGAGCGTGAGGAAGGCCCAGCTGCCAAGGGATTCCATGGCCCTCCAGCTCTAGCCATCACCCACTGCCTCTGCAAGATGTGGCAGAAGAACCAGAAGCAGTTGATTTCCCATTTGCAATTTATCTATAAGAATAAATAGACATATTCTCTTGTCTAAGTTACTTGTTATCTTTTACAGAAGGTCATCTCCATGTTGTTTCTGTGCTGCTAATGAGTCCTTGAAAGTGTGTGCTTCTCTCCTAAGAGCAGATGGCTGAGAATTAAAGAGGATGTCGTGGCTTTCACTGTGAAGCCAAGGTCACTGATGTTATCTCTAGTTTCAATCTTATTTCACCTGTCTCTAAAATGTAAATGACTCTTAAGAGGGGAAGGAGGACTTTTCAGGACTAACTTTCACTGCTCAGAGATGAACACCAGCGGTGACAGTTAATTGATCTCCAGATTCCGTCCCAACTGTTCTCGTGCAGATGAGTAAAATAATTTACACTATATGGAAACAAACTTGGACTGTCTTATACATTTGACAAATTCTAATGGTTGATGTCTGCAGCTGAATTAATGCGTTCAATGACTGGGAACTGCTGCATGTGGAAACTTTCACTGGTACAGGAAGGGAATAAGTATTTTCAAAGGATGACATCCACAAATGTCCAGGGCTTTTGCTGCGGGCGGGTCACGTTGCCTAAAGTGGGAAAGCACCGTATCTGGTCCATTTTGCAACCTTTCCCTTTTTGCAACACTTATGTAAGGACATTTTGAATTTTTTTTTTTATTTCCAGAAAGAAACTTTCGTGACGACTTTTTAAATTTTTTTTTTCTTTTCTTTCCCGCACAGAACGAATGACGCTGGATAACGCGCCTCTCTTGGCCGCCTACACTGACTCGCCGCTGCAGGGGGATTTCCCTCGGGGAGCGGCCGAGGGGGCCGGGCCGGGAGGGGGAGGTGCCGCCACCTGCCCGGCGGGGCGGGGCCGGCCGGCTCGGCCCTGCTCTGCTCCGCTCGGTCCGGCCCTGCCCCCCTGGTATTTAGCGGCGGGAGCGTTGGGCGCGGGTACCGCTCGCAGCCGGGGATGGCAACGGTTTCGGGCGCCATGAGCGGCGGCGGCGGCATCGAGAACGCGGCGTTCGAGACTCCCAGCCCCAGCCTCGGCCGGCAGCGCCCCTGGAACTCCGCCAGCTCCAGTGCCAGTTCTAGTGCCTGTGCCCCCTCCGATCCCGACTTTGAGGAGGGGCCCTGCGGGTGGGGTGGCTGCACCCCGGAGGCTCTGCAGCTCTGCAACAACCCCGAGGGCTACCTGGCTGTGTACAGCCTGCTGGCCACCTTCCAAGGTAACCCGTCCCTACGGGCCGTCTGGTGCCCGAGGCGCCTCTTCTGCTGCTCCTCTTTCCTGGGGGGAAGTCGGCCTGGAGCCTGGACTGGGGGAGGCAGGAGAAGCGTGATGATGTTTTAGGCAGTGGGCAAGGAGAGACAGGGTTCCTTTAGAGACGATAGTGGCTTTGCTAGGGGAAGAAAATACAGTAATGCCTTGTATAGGGAAGTTGCTCCTACAGCGTTACTCTCTCTACTTCACTCTGTTCTGGCTCTTCTTTTCCCACCTACTTTACTGGCCACTGCTGAGTCCATGGTCCCATCAAGTCTGCGTTTCGTGCTCTTGTCAGTGCTGCATCCGCATTGCTCACGCTTCATGTACACTTATGGGTTGGGACTTAGAAGCCAGGGAATAAAACGCCAATATAAACAAGTAATCAAAACTCTAGTACCCGAGCATGTACTTTGTTACTTGCCTGCTAACTAAAACAGTATCTTGGCCTGGTTGGTCAGGACTTTGGGTAATTAGGGTGGCTCTGAAGAGAAGCAAACAAACAACAATCTGTTCTTGTTCTGTGGATCCCAGTGCAGCCGTCTTCCCAAAACTTAACGGTTTAACTTGATTGTGGGGGAAACCTGAAGATTAGCTTGCCCTAAATTTCTGTTCAGCTTCAGAGTTTCTTGTCCATAGTTTTGGTTTTCTGTAAAAAGATTTGTTAGGGCCTTAGCAAGTCTGAGGCTTAGAAAGTAGTAGTAGTGACTGGATGGAGGAGAAACATTAGTGTACCAAATATACAGTCTTGAGGTTTGTCCTTCAAATGGAGCTATTGGATTAATGTTCATAACCCTTCAATTTTATTGGGCTGACTAGAAGTGAAAATGTGTTTCCTGGAAAAATATGAGGCTTTAAAGCTCATTATTGTTGCTCCTAAAGAATGACACTGCTGTAGAAGGGTGAAGGGAGATGTTGGAGATTTGATGCTGCAGGAGCTGGCAGCCTGCACCAAAGATATGCAGGATATGGATGGCTGCATTCCTGCCTGGAACCACACTGAGATAACTGGGATGGTATGAGGAGAACTGAACAGGAGGTTCTGCTTAAAACCTAGAAGGTTTTGAATGCTGTTTGTGTTGCTTGGAAAGTCCTTGAAGGAACCGGTGTCTCTCAGTATGTGTTTCTGTGAACTTTTTCTGGTTTCAACCTGTTCAGAATCTAATCTTAGCATACAGGTCTTGTGTTAGAAAAGAAATATCTAGGGAGTTTTGAGCAGAGCCTGTTTTTTCTTAGTTGGATTTCAAAAGTCATGCTACAGCTGCTAGGATCAGGAGGTGATTACTGTTACAGTTGTCCTGCTGTTAGCTCAAATTTATTTTCTTCATAAATAAAAAGAAAGGTAAAGGTGGAAGAACTTATTACATATCAGATTTCAATAGCAGTTGAGTAGTAGAAGACTGTTAGAATACATGTCTATCTTTTTTTTGAGTGGCTTAAGAATATTAAACCAAGTGTCTTGAATATTTCCAGCACTTCTAAATTTCTTCAGATCTGGTGGGCTGTTGAGATTTGGTTGCTGAGCTGAATAATAAACTTCGTGTCATTTAAAATTCTTCTCTTGTTAGTAGTCTGTGTAGGTTGCCAGTCATAAAAGCATCTTGTACCATAAGAATCTCTGTCCCCTTAAGAAGGCATAAATGTTGTTTGTGCTGCTTATCCAGCTCTTGGTCCTGTTATCTAACTTTATATATGTTCCAGGTAACTAATCTAGTTCAGGTTTAGGGCCTTTAATGTAAGGAAACTTCTGATGTTGGTTTTGGAAGCTGATGTAAGTGTGGCTATCACAGGTCTTGTGGCATTCCTGATGTTGTTACCTCGATTTTCTGAATAAGAGCCTTTCTTTGGTTTAGAACACAGAAAGGAAATTGGGTGCTAAAGACTCAAGCTGCAATTCTTTTTGAGAGGCGGGAAAAACAAGAGTCTTTATCAGCAAGAAATTCAATGTTGTGTGTGAAGCTTTGTGAAAACATTCAAGTCTGTAGCTTCAGACTTTAGATAAAAACACACAAAATACAACTGGAATTTTGAAGTTATGTGAGCTAATACTGTGTGGTGGTTTTGGGTCTAATTATTTGACTTACCCTCCAAATTACAGAAACAATCACTGAGGAAGATAAAATATGTCTATTTAACTTGCTAGCACACCTCTAGAAAAGATTATAACTTAAGGTATTGAAGACTAATGAAGGCTTTTTATGTGAGTGAACATAGTGGGTGATTATGTGCAGTGGCCTGGTACATGTGTGTAGATTTCTGGGTGTATCTAACTGAAAGCATGTATTTGTCATGCTATTTGTCAGGTTGTTTTCTAGCTGCTTTAGAAAAGAGATTATTGTTAGCATCTGATGTACTGGATTTCAGCTTCTCAGAAGATTCCAGGTAGAACTTGTGATTTCTGGTTGTTTCTGTTTCAAGTATGTATGAAGCCCGTATTTCCAGAATAGAAAACAATTTGTGTAGAATGTTGTTGCATGGCTAATACCTGCTTTCTGCACAGCACTTGGAGTTGCATAAATGTATGTTGTATCTTGTAATACAGTAACTGGATGTGCTGCAATTCCTAGCTGTAGTAGGAAACAAGGTAGAAATTATCTCACTGTTTTGAGTACAAGAAGGACTGTTTATTCCTTGTCAGTAGTTTTTATTAAACAAAATAACAAAACTGCTGTTTGAGACTGGTTCATTCTAATATGTCTAAAAAATTTGAATAGCACAAATATTTTATAGGCTGGTTAGGCCTTCTTGATTTTTTTGTGTGCCTGCGAACTACTGTGTTACAGCCGCCATGCTTATAACAACTGCAGAGCAGTTCTTTATCCTTTTTTTTAAGAAAGGATAAAGAAAAAATACTCTTGTGTTTCACTAGAGCAAATTAAGTTGGTTTATAATTAATCTGGATTTTATGGGTCAGTACCCACTGAACCTAAATCTCTAACAGATGTAGCGGGACAATAAGGTTTTGGTTTAGAAGAGTTGAAAACTAGCTTCTGTGCTACAATTTTAGAGTGTTGAGATGGCCTTACAGAACTTGTTTTTCAGATCAAGTATTAGCCAGGTTCCATCTTTCCTGAGGGGACTAGTGATTAGTCACTAGATGATGGCATTGGAGGAGTTATGTTGCCATTCATCACATCTGTGTGTTTACAGATGAAATTTAATTATCCATTAAAATTAACTATGAGGTTTTATGGCTTTTAGGATGCAAATTAAAGGTGATGACTTAAACTACAGTAAAAGACAATGCCTTCTAGCTCTGTAATCCACTTGCTGTGTAGCACACTTGCTTCATATGAATGTCTCGAGGCCTTAGTAAATGTTTGAGGTGCTGGCAAACGGGGGAAAAAGTTGTTTGTTCATTCCTTCATGCTATTATTGTTCTTTGGTAAATGCTCCTTAATAGGAAAAAGTTGCCAAATGTATAACCAATGGCAGTGGAGGAACACTGTAACACTTCTGTTATTGACTGATAGGTAGAATTGTCAACATTAATAAAGAAGCCATAGTAGGGCTTAAGTAGGAATTAAGATTGTGCCAAGAGCTGCCTCCTTACAGAAAGCTGAAATGTTTGCCCGTGGTGGGGATTGGAAAACAGCTGGCTGATTTGGAGTAGTTTTTTTCAATATGTTGGAGCACTTGAAGGAGATGTTGAAGTTTAGCCTCAGTAGTTGTACTTCTGGATGGTACAATGCTTGTTGAAAAGTAACTTAAGCCTATTGCTGTCACCAGTCCTTCTGTTCTGGTTGTAGAATGACAGTAGAGAATCACGTTTGAATTTTAGAAAGAGTAAGAATAACTGTAGGGCCTGTGTCATGAGAGAGGCTCATCAGTCATCTATGAGGTTACATAACTCAGCAGCTGTGATTCCAAGACTTCCTAACTTCTTTTCAGGTATATATTTTATTATGGACGCAGTTTAATTAGACTGTGACGAAGTTGCCTGACACTGTTATGAACTACTGCTATTAATCTCTCTTGTAATATAATCCTGTTTTGTTAAAAGCAAACCCCTGTAAGTTTGACTACTTGGTGTTTCACATAGAAACAGAACGTGAAGCAGGATGGGAGATTCGAGTTAGAATCTACAGACAGTGCATTTGTAAAAATGGACATGCACTGGGAATTGCGGCTTACTTACTTGCTTTTATTATTTTAAGGGTCACCTGTGCTTCAGTAGGGCAGCTTGTGCAACGCCTTTTTTTCTGGGTCATTTCATACTTTTGCTTCTGGGAACTTAAAGATTCAGAGGACAAACTTTTTATTTTTCAGTTAAAGTAAATCTCAGTTGCTCTGGAACAGTTGTGAAGTATTTTTAAATAGCTTTTTTCAATTATAGGGGAAGCATGTCTATTTAAGAGCCTTCTTATCTTCCCTTGTGGTGGCAGGGAGGAAATTATGTTTTTTGACAATACTTTGAAAGCTATGTCCCGAAGTTAGTTCACTTGTAGCTTGTATTCTAGTGCAAGCCATAACCTTGACTAATTTCCTTTTTACTTGTACAGTATCTTATAATACTATAATGCATTCTGTTTGGAATCTGTACTTCAAACAGAATCTGGAGCCTTAATATATGAAAAGAGTTTGAGGCATGGTATATTTCTGGCTTAATGCTTGAGTGTCCACAGGGGAGTAAAATTAAATAGATCCTGTGCAATTTTGCTGGCTTAAGCTGGCACTGTGTTGATCTACTATATACCTACATACCTATACATTTGTTTTCTATATACCTAGATTTTAAAGCTAATAAATACTTACAATGGAGCTTTGTAAATATGTTAATTTCATAGCGTTGCAAGGGTAAACTTACCATTGTGTGATGGAAAGGTTAAAATGAATATATCTTTGACTAATTATCTCTTTTTTTGGTTTTGTAGGTATTGTGGTAAATGGCCTGGTTAACATTAGTATTTCAACAATTGAGAAGCGTTACGAGTTGAACAGTTCCCTGACTGGCTTAATCTCTGCAAGCTATGACATTTCTTTTTGCATGTTGTCGCTGTTTATATCTTTTTTTGGAGAAAGAGGGCACAAACCACGATGGCTTGCTTTCTCAGCATTTATGCTAGGACTGGGCTCCCTTATATTTTGCTTACCACACTTTAGTGTTGGAAAATACCATTATGGAGCTAAACCTGAAGGTAAGCTTATCTTTGTTTTGAAAATTACACACACAAAAAGAATCTCTGTAGTGACTTAGTGCAACACTTTATTTGGTACAACGTGACTAATCTCTGTTAAAATCCTAAAATAAAGTACTATCTGTGGCACTGAAAAGAATGATTCTGTGAAATCTGTAAGTTCAAGAACTTACAGAACTCTACACAGTGAACTTTACTTAACAGAAGCAATCTGTCAATATCAGTTCTTACTCATAAGCAACATTTGAATAAAATGCCTTTTTTTTTACTTGCACTGATATATGCAATTGAAATTCACTTTTGAGAAAAGTATCTGGCATCTATTTGTGAATTGGAATCAAGTTAGATCAGTGAGGTAGAATAAGTGTCAAAGTAAAGCTTTGACTGTAGTCAAAAAAATTAGACTTGCCATCTTGTTGAAAGGTGGCTACTTTTTGGAGTTCTTTGGGGTTTTGAACCATTAAAGACATCTTGATTCATTCATTAACAAGTTTCTAAGTTCTTTTAAAAGATGTTGATTAAAACTTGTGGATTTATTTGAAATAGAGGCAACAAGCAGTACTGAACTGTACTGAACAAAGCAGTATTTAAATCATGGGAGTAGTTAGCTCTCAGTTCTTACATAACTTTTCTCATAAAAGAAGACTTCAATGCAGTGTAGTTAGTGCAGTGTGGTTTGTATTTCAATTTAGTGGCACACCTGTAACTAATACAGAAATGTTCAGATATGTTTAAAGCAGGATGACTTAATGTTAATTGCAGTGTTCAACCAGACTTACGCCTCCAATGACTAAGCATACTAGAGTGCTCACTTAAAAAAATCAGTAGCTGTTAAGCAACCTGATGAAAGGTTTTGGTTTTCAAATTAACTTCTTTAGTGTTGATCATGTCATACACTTGCATGAGCTGTCCAGACATTAGTTAAACAAGTTTGGTAAGCTATTTTTCCCCTATCTAATAAATGAGGATCTGTAATGGAAGTTAATTGAACTTTTAACTGAACAAGGCCAAAAGAAAACGATCTTCAGTGTTTGAGGGCTGTGAGCAGATGATTATTTGCTACCTCTTAATAGAGGGGCAACAGGTTATTTGCTCCTGGCTCTGTTACAGTCCCATTTCTCTACAATTTTGGTTTCAGTATTGTACTTCCTCCTTCACTATAGTATGGAAGGGAAGCTGAATTTGATATATAAGTTTCAACCTGATTGCAGGGTTTTTTTTAATTGAAACAAGATACTGACAGTGTGGGAGAGAAGACCAACTATCACAACTGATCTCTTTCCTTTCAAAAAACTGTAGTTGAAATCTCAAAGTATATGTTACTGTTTTATCAGACATTCCCATTGAATATGGATGTAGATGTTCATGCTTTATTAGGGAGATGTTCTACATGGACTTTTAGAAATTCCCCACCACTTCTAGGTTTCAAAGTAATGTGTCTCCTTCACTGTGGCACTGTCAGCTGACAACATTCCTGCTGTTTTGACTGTTATAATGCAGGTGCCTATGCTGGGACTGTGGTGAGAGACAACTGACTTAAACAAAACACTATTAAAGATAAATGACTAAGTGTAGGGAATGTCTTCACTGTGACGGACTCAACATAAATCTTCAGGTGCTGTGCAATGGCATCCTTTAACTGTCAAGTACAGGATCATGGGATGTCTGGTTTAACTAGTTCTGATGTTGATGAAGCATCTTAACTATACAATTGGTTGTGGAATTTAATAGCACCACACCCCCAAGACCTTCCTTTTTGATTATTTGTTTGAATGAGTAGTTAATAAAAAATATTAAAGTTTCTATAAAACTTTTATTTGATGCTTTGTATTAAAATCTACCACCTGATTTATTTCTGAACAGCTCATTTTACTAGTTGGTTACTTGATTATATATGTTTGTCTGCTATATGTCACTACAGTGAGTTTTACCTGCAGGATAATTTCAAGTACAGTTCAGTGCAATTTTTAATATGGCTGCCAGGTTAATAAATAGATCTAGACTGGAATGCAAAATACATATAACCTCCAGTATAAGGCTTACAGACTTCATGAACTTACTGTTTTACCTTGAGATATTAATTTACTTCTATTCTGAGTATATACATATCCTGCTCTACAAAACTACTTGATTGTTTATTTATCCTAATACCACTTTTTAGAAGTGGTTTAATTTCATATTGAAGGAATTGTTAATGAACGGTCTCCCTATTATTAAAATTTTTTAGCCATAGCAAACATTTGTTTTCTAATCTCCAGAAAGGCTTCAGTCTCCGATTTGTAGCCTAGGTGTGACCAGCTGTTTGTTCTAACTTTTCCAGGTTGCAGAGTCGCCAGTGCCTCAGCTGGCTCAGATACGTGCAGTCAGGGGCTCCACCTGGTGGTGTGTCCGTAGCGGAAGCAGACGAATTTGATTAATCAGAGATGGCAGAGGGGACTGTGAAAACTGCAGATGCTATAAGCAGTGTACCTTTAAGCTTCTGTCTCGGATTTTATTTTAAAAATTTAAACATATTTCAATATGTCTCTCACAGCAAACGTGAATAGTAGTTTTTCACTTGACACAGGGAAGATAATTTCATTGTGAAGACAGTCAAACACTGGGACAGATTACCCAGGATTCTTCTTAAGTGCAAAGGAAGGAAAACTTTGACTCCTCCTCTTGATCTGAGGTTTTCTTATCCCTTATGTTGGCCTTTTTCTGTGCAACAGCACTGTATCACCTGTTGTGAGCTACAGGGAGTAATGATAAAGCCCATGCATGTATTTATAACACCAGTGTAGACAGTTTGTTTAAATATCTGCTGTGTAGCAAGGACTTCCTTGTACTTTGTTTTGTGAGCTCAAAGTGTGGGTTGAGCTTGCCTTTTCTTTGCTTAAGTAAAAAGTGTTTTAAACTGTAAAAGGACCTGAGGAAGGAAAAAATGTAGTAATTTTGTGGCAAAGTAGTGTGAATGAATCAGTCTGCTTGTTGGATCTGAAGGATGTTTTCATATGTCTGTTCAGTGTGGCTTATTGCCACAAAACTGATGAGTTTATCGTCTTTCTTAAGGTTTCATGCTCTTCTGTGGAAAAAAAGAAACGTGCTTTTCTTTTATCTTGTCACTTGTCACTCTTACTGAAAGTGCAGTGGTAGCAAGGGGAAGGAGAAGAGAACACATACTCCCTGTCATACTCCTCTTTTCTCTTCCCTCCTTGTAGTGCCAAACAGTACAGGAGCAGACACAACCTTACGCTGCTGCACCGCTGCTTTCCTCTTTGTGTGCTTAAGTACAGAGGCTTTACCTTAACCGCTTGTTCTGGAGAGGTGGCGGTGTGTGTGCTCTATGAGAGGTAGTGGTGTAGGTTTTCAAGGTTGGTTTTCTTTTTTCCTAGGAAAACATTTCTCAAAAGAGTGAATGAGAAGGGAGGATTATCTTTGCCAGTGACTGACTGCACTTTCTAGCAGTCCAGCTTTCCTTAGGTTGTTCAGGCTGCACTGTCAATTGAGTGGAAGTTGTTAGTGCTCCTTAGAATCATTATAACGTACAAGAACAAAATGAAGTGTGTTACCCAGGAGTTTTCACAACCTGTGGAATGACCATTTGACAGATGGTTGGTTGTTTGGTTTTTTTTTTTTTTTCCATAAATCTGATCATTAATGCTTTCAACAAGGCAAAGCATTTTAATAAGGCTATTTCATTCATCTTACCTTCCTGATGAGGAAACAAGAACCAAGCCATGATAGTATTTCTTTTGGGGGATATAAACCTTGGCACTGCCATAGTGGATACCTTAATAGCTGTGAAAATTGAAATGGGAGCCTGACATAACAGCACTTCATTTGTACTTTAGCTTTCAGTACAGATTTTTCTTCAGCTGGACTGTGATGAGCTGGGTATCAGACTTGTAAAGTCTTGTTGTCTCTGTTTTTCAGACACTTGTCAAGCTCCAGAAACCGTGTCTGCTAATATGACTTGCAACGCCAGCTTGAAGTCTTCACATCACAAGTATATGTATGTCTTCATTCTGGGACAGCTGCTGCTGGGAATTGGAGGAACGCCGCTGTATACTTTGGGAACAGCTTTTATTGATGATAGTGTCCCAAAACACAAATCTTCCCTTTATATAGGTAACTTTTAAACTGTTTATAACATATTGTCTGGATTGATCATAAACTGCAGTACCTTCCAAATGCTTTTATGAATTACTCTAAAAATCTTGTAATTGTTTACTTATGTGCATAAAGTGTTTCTTCATCAGTTACTGTGCAATTTAGGTATTAGTCTGCTTGAAGTATCGAGTCTTTTCAAGTTTTATTTTGTAGAGCTGATAAAGTTACTTTGAGCACCTCTCCTGTTACTTTTTGATATCCGTAACTGAAAATGGTTGTGGTTAATGTAGCCTGTCTGTTAACAATAGAATAGGCTGTAGCAAAAACTTGCTTTTTAGTGTCACAGGTGTTGAAAAATACTGCATATCAGTTAGTCAGTAGCTAGGTCATATTGTATCCTTTAACAATTTTATTTACTTACCTTCTGTTAGTAAGCTGTGCACTCAGTGTGGAGACAGTGCTGTGCATTGTGTGTTCAATGCAGTTCTCTAACCACGTACAAATTTGGCACTTTAGGAGGACATACTAGAAGTATCTTTCCTTCATTCAAAGCCATAGTATTGCTTTAGGGTTAGGGTTGTTTAAAAGCTAAGGAACACTAATTCTTATCAGTAGTTTTTAACTTTTTTCAGTCATCATTCTCTGGGTTGTGTGCATTTTTACTGCCAAGTTCATTGTAGTCTAAGTGTGTTTTCTATGGGTTTAAAGATATTTGTTTCCCCCCATTTTGTGTGTAAGCTGATAGAAGCATTTTAGCTATACTTATAACTTGCAGGAGGAATTCAAGTCACCTCAGATTCCAAGACTCATTTCCAGACTTTATTTTATGGGGCAAAATTGAAATCATCACCTATTAGCATACAATTCTTGCACATTTATTCCAGACAAGCCACTTCATTTGATGCCAACAAATACAATAGTTGCATGTGATAAATCTAAAATAACAAAAATGGGTTTTATTTTTGCTGGTATTATACTTTTTCTTCATTTCCCTCCCCCCATCCCTACCCCTGAAGCCGATGAAATAAATAGAGCAGAATTAGGGCTGTCTGCACGACTGGGGGATTAAATAGTGACCTGAAAACTCAGGAGAATTATGTCAGTGTTCATACTTAAAAACGATGAATACAATAAACTAATGTATGTACAATCTTCAGGCATCTGAGTTCAGAAGAGCAGTGTATTCTGCCTAATATAATAAAACTGAAATGCAAGTGAGTGAGCAGGTAGCTACCTTAAGCCTTAATTCTTTTTCTTGCTTTTATGCAATGTATTAAGGATTTAAAGTATATCGTGTTGCCTTGCCTAATGCAATAAGGCTTATACAAGGCAGCAAAAAAACAAACAAAAAACCCCTAAAACTTTCTGTAAAGAGCTGCTAGCATCTTTGACTATAGGCTTGTAACTCAAAAGTTGATAGTTTCTTTCTTTTCTAATCTGGGTGCATTTTCATGAGGACTGTTCTGCTCTTGCTGAACTGGGACATCAACAACTAAAGCCACTGAAAAGTTAAGCAATTGCAAATGATATTTAAACTGAGTGATGTGTAGGAGGAAATAGGTATCTTTTAAGCTTGGTTTGAAATTCTGTAGAATGAATGTGACCTTAGAAAGTTCTGATAGGCATGTCACTTTTTCCAAAATACAGGAAAACCTGGGATATGTTTACTCAGTGTTTATTTTGACTTGAGCATCACCTTTTGCATTGGTTTCCCCTCTCGCACCCTTCTCACCTTCCTGCCTCCCCCATCATTTCCTTTTGCTGTCTAACTAGAGTGAAATTAATACTAAGTACTCAGGATCCAGACACTTTGGAAACATCAGAAATCCAGATTCTTCAGCCGGGGGAAGCAGCGTAGAATATCAGCAGTAAGAATGCATGTTTACTAATTATTTCAGGTCTTGTTTCTGTTAGTTGCAAGCCTTAATCTTCAGAATGCTCCTGATAGCAGTGAGTGCTAAACTGCCACAGAAATCTTTGTGATAGGCCAGGGAGACTGTTGTGATATTGAAAAAGTCTTGTACTTTTTAGCAGGATATGGTTACACCTGCTACTTTGCAGGTTAGGGTTTGTTTTTGTTCGGTGGCATGTTTTATTTTTTGGCTTTTTTTTTTTTTAGATGGTGTGTCTGGATTTTTGTTGGTGTGTGTTGTTGGTATTTGTGTGTTGGTTTTTTTGTTTGTTTGTTTGTTTTGCTTTTTTTAGTGCTGTCGGGCACTGTCAAGAGCCCTGGCTTTGTATTTTAAGGCAGATCCAGTCAGACATTTTAATGGAACCTTGTCTTTTGATCTTGAAAGATGTATAAATACTTAAGATGGAAAAATATAAATAACTAGATTCTTAAAGATTTTGGTCATGTACTGTTAACAACTGGTGCTCATACTTTCACTTCAACTTTTTCCTCAGCTAGCTCTTGAACGTAGGCACAAAAGGTAGGTGCAAATGGCAGTCTAATAATAATTAAAGATGCAGTCAGTGAGATGTTTTTTGCTGAACCTCCGAGTTGCAGCTTTTAATGAGAGCTGCAAATTTCCTTGCTGAGGCATAAGTATAAATTTTGTCTTCTACACACTGTAGTTGAATTAATGAGAGTGAAAAGAACAAGTTGAATTACAGAACTTTGATCTGAAGTTGATTTAAGAATTTTACTAAAAGAAAGCTTTAAAAAGAAAAGCTTAAGTTACGGTGGACTCGATGTATTTTCTCTTCTAGGAATTGCCTATGCCATGTCTCTGCTGGGTCCTGCTATTGGATATGTTGTAGGAGGGCAACTGCTTAATGTTTATATTGATATCCAGATCCCAGAAAGGCAAGATACAACTGAATTTATTGCTTTCTATTTTCTTTTCCTAATAATTTTAATTGAAATCTTCAGCTTTTCTTCCTGTGAGAAAGAGTTTTTGTTCAGAAAATACTGCATTTGCAAGAGCTTCATTGACTTGTAAGCAAGTTGTACTCATAAAGGCTTCAAGTAAGTGAATTACTTCTCACAGGGAGTAGTGTGACCCCATTATGTGTGCAAGTTTCTCCATAGTGCAAATATTTAGTTCTAGCTTTTTAGATATTAGCTATTTTAAAACTGAGTAACAAAAAATGCTTTGTCTTCTGTTTAGTTGCTCGTTTAAACTGCACCTATTGATTTCTTGTGCAGAAAGTTTCCCTGAGTTGCAATATGAGAGGTAGGATACTGCTGCTTAACTCCTGGCAAAAAGCTTGTGAGAAAATCTAACAGGTTGAGTAATAGTCTACTATTAAAAAATGTTATAAATTGTACAACTGTCCAAGCCAACAACTTCATTTAGGTTTTTATTTCCTGTGTTTTAGAGCAATGCAATGGCATTCTGAACTTCAGAGTTGGCTTTGACATAACTCATTGGTTATGAAGATTCTTTCTAAACCCAGCTTTTTCGGTATCTTAATAATGCTTTAGGATCTTGAAGTCAGGGCCAAAGAGTAGCCTCTAAATCAGAATGACATTTACTAGTGAGATGAAAGCTATATTTGGTAGAATGCAATATTTTTATAATAGACCCTGTGAATGTGCAAACAAGCAAACAAAAAATTTAATGCATGTGGAAAACAAGAAAATTACAATATTAAAAGGCTTTCTGTTAAATCAGTTTTAAGAATAAATATTCCAGCTCATGAAATCTGAAATTGCTGATTGAAATTCAGAATGATAAATCTGCTTTTTCTGAATTACTTTTTCAGTACAAAGGTGGATCACGATGACCCACGTTGGCTTGGAGCATGGTGGATAGGATTTCTTGCATGCTTTTTTGCAATTTGGCTTCTTATAATACCTTTTTCAATGTTTCCAAAGCACCTGCCAGGTAAAGGTTTAGCAATACTGAGTTAGTTTGGAAGAGAGATTTGTTTATATTTGTGGTTATAGACTCCTGGACTGGATGTTTCCTCTTTGATTCCATTTTTTGGTTAACTTAAGTCTTTGGCTAAAATCTGCTAAATACTTTTTTCCCCCCCAATACGTAGCCTTTAAAATAAGGCACATGGACTAGAAGAAGGATCTTGTTTATGGTGTCCCTGCCCGTGGCCAGGGGGTTGGAACTAGATGAGATGTGAGGTCCCCTTCAACCCAAACCATTCCAGGATTCCATGGTTCTTTTCCAGTAGAACTGGAAACAGGTACCCGAATGTGGAGACTGATGGTCAAATTTTGGAAGATGCTTCCATCTAAGCACCCAGAACTGTATTTAAAGCTGCTGTGTTACCCACCAAGAATAATGTGGAAACTCTAATGACTTAACTCATGCACTGTTGTCTTTGATTTTTTTATTAGTTTGGATGGAATAATAAAGCATGAATCAAAGTATCCCAGAACAGTCTTCTAGAGAGATACTTAGAATATAATCTCTGTTCAGGTAGATATTATCTAGGAGTCCCTTGGAAGAGCATCCAAAGGAACTTAGTATACTAATATTGAAAGAGAAATCATGGAGGAAAAGAAACAATGAAGTAGGGAACAGGGGAGAGTGTGAGGATGCTTTAAAAAAATATTGAATGGGCTTCAGCATACTCTGAAGATTTTAGGATATTCCTGATAATATCTTATTGCAGCCAAGATATTCCAATGGAAGCATGATGCTTTCAACAAAAATATCTTTTCAATTTATTATTGATCTCTTTATAAATCTGTACCAATAAAACACTGAAGAAGACCTGCAGTATCTGACTACTTTTTCCAAGTAAAGGAAATGTGAATTTTTCTGCCTTTTTGACATTAAATCTATGAGCACAGGTATTCAATGTTTTCATTGTCAATAAATATGACTTTGTAGGAACAGCAAAAATACAGGCTGAAAAAGTCTCTGAAACTCATGATGATGGAAGTGAGGCCCTAGTTCGGATCAAGAATATTGGAAAAAATTTTAAAGACTTTCCTATATCTCTCCTGGTAAGAAAAATCTGAACTTTGCTAAAACTGGTGTATTCTGAGGAATGAAATTCTTTTTCGTATAATCTATAGATATTTAGAAAGGTAATTGCTTCTTTATTGTGTTGTGATAGTCGTCTCCAATGCTACTGATAATATAATGGATATTCATTTTGTTGATACTTGAGGTTGTTAAAGCAGAAAAGCATATTACTGAAGTTCCACTTAGACTATCTACTTTAAAATATAGTGGCTTCTACTTTAGTTGGTACCAAAATCAAATGATTTCCGGAGCATTATTATAATTTCTCTCCATAGATACTGTTGAGGAATCCAGTGCTTATGTGTCTAATAATAGCCAGTTCTTCAGAAGCTTTAGTTACCACTGGATTTGCCACATTTCTACCAAAGTTTATAGAAAATCAGTTTGGAAAGACGTCAAGTTTTTCAGCAACTCTTGGAGGTAATGTGGCTTTTTATTTATAAATCTTAGATATATTATATTGAACACCTCATTAACATGGTGGAAGATTATATGGGTATCTTGTTTGCCTGAGATATTTGTAAATGTAATTACATGGAATGCAATTTCACATCAGAAACAGTATTTTTGTTATTCTTGCCTGCTTTGTGAAAACTTAAGTTTTAACGTATAAGTTAATACTTATTAACTTAAACTTAATTCATCAAAGGTGCAAATCTACTTGTCTGTAGGTTTTTTGAAGACTGTCAATCTCATATTGGAAGTAGAATGAATAATTTGTGTGCTGATGAGACTGTAGTTTATTCCTTTCTTATTCTTGGTGAAAAACATTTAATTTTCCTTACTTAAAATCAGCTGAAGTAGCATTAGTATCTTAGTCCCACTAAAGCAATCAAGATAAAGGGCAGTTGGAAAAAAAGCAGTGCTTATTGCAAATAAGTGGTTGACTGCCCTTCTCCAATTCTGCAATAATGTTACGGTGAGATTGATTTACAATAAAATGACTAATCGGGATATAAGACAATTATGTAACAGCTTCTATAGTTGGCTTACTGTCACTTATTTCTATTATCTGATATGGAAAAGTAATAGGCAGAATTCTATGAAAAGCTGAGTATTAGAGAAACAGAAAAATTGGGTGGAAGAGCTACACTCAATATGGTCCCATGATTAACTCTGACACAATTACTTCCCAAGAACAGTAACCAGATCAAGGCAGAAATGATGACCCACAGATGCTTGCAGTATGACAGACTCAGTGTTTCTAAAACATGTCTTGCCAAGCTGTAGAGTGCCGCAATATAAGGATAAGGTAGCTGAGCTGCTCTTTCTCCAACAAATATGTTTGGGAAAGACTTTCTGACTGACTGACTTACAATACTGGATATAGTACTGTCACTCTTCCTGGCTTCAAAACAAAGTATCTTCAAATTTTGCATAGAAATAGATTATGAAATACATGCTCAATTGTTAAACAATAACCAGGGGTGAAGCAGAAAACTGAGTGTTGCTTTTTATATCCATAGACTTTGTCTGAATGCCTTTGAGTTGAAAATATTGATAGGGCTTATTAAATGCACAACTTTAAAGAAATGGCTACACTCATGTTGAAAACTGTCTGTACCTGAACTGAGCTAGCTAGTCTGTTACCAATGACCGTGAAAACTACTAAAACTACCTTTGACTAAGATTGATTGTGACCTGTGCAGTTTTACCACTGTGCTTGAACTGTCTCTGAAGTTAGCTGTCTCGGGTCAGTGCAAGTTATGCTGAATTCTGTGTTGTTTTGTAGATTAGCCATGTAGAAGCCCAGTTATTTATCTGGAGTACTAATAGAACAAAGAGGATAAATCATTGTGGACTATATGGCTTTGGACAGCAAAACTGACTCAGACGTAGATTTCTTTAAATCTTTCAGTAGATGCCTCATTGCATCTTGTGCTGTCTCTTGTATAATAGTGGTTATGTTCTTTTAGTAACAAGTTCAGTACACATGTATAGCAAAGAACATGGACATGTGAAAAAAGACACTGAAGCAATGAATGGGCATTTTGTATTTTCTGAAGTGAAAAGTCCTACTGGTGTTCAGAGATTCCTGCCCAATATGTAGTACTCCTAAGGCATCTAGTTTGGCTGTGCTGAAGTCGGGTTTTGGACAGCTGTAAACTGTACTGTCAAGGTGAGCTTCAGTAAAGGCTAAAGGTCATGTAAGGGCAGAATAAATGAGTCATACAGTCAGATTCTGGTAGTATAGTTTGAAAATGACGTCATGTGGACTGCATTTTACAGGTAACTGTTTTGATTTTTTTTTTCATAGTATAAAATTGCACTCTTAATTGCTTCACAATTATGTCTTGCATTTTTGTGTCTTGTTTTCCTCTAGGACTTGTATTAGTTCCAGCAGCAGTACTAGGCCAAGTCATAAGTGGCATCTTGGTTTCCAAGTGCAAAATGGATTTGAAAAGCATAATCAAGTTCATGATAAGCACTTGTTCAGTGGCCCTGCTATTAAACACAGTGTTTTTATTTGCCAAATGCAGGAATGAACCTTTCGCAGGTGTCTCTGAAACATATAATGGGTAAATATATTTTAATGCACTATGGGGTTTGGTGTTAATTTTTAAAATAAAAAGGTTACATCATAGAATACAAATCCTTTTAAAATGTCATATTTTGCTTCTATGTATGAATCTGAAATGTTTTATGCAACTTTATAAAGGTTTGTTTTGGAATCTTCATGTAATAGATGAGAGAAGGTATGGATGCCTTACCTGCAAAACGTTCTGAGCAGTCAAGCCCTGCTTGACACAAATCGCAGCTTCTGTAACAATTTTAGGTGTGGTAGGCACATGGCATTGACTACACCTAATTTTGTATTGCTGTAAAAGTAGAGTATTTTGTATCTTGTTTCATTTAATCAACTCTGGATAATCTAAACAGTTTGTTCCTGGAAGGAGTTGTCAATTTTGTGAAAGCACATGGAAGTGCACTGCAACTTACACTGACTGCGAGTTTTTCACTAGGAGAGCAAAGACATGATTGTAGCATCAGGTTCTAGGGCACTTGGCCTCCTTGTACAAAGGGGGCTTTCTTTTTTTTTTTCCTGGTCTAATGGCTGATAGAGGTAGGAACTTAATGCGAAGAGGGAATAGCTCAGTGACAAAATTTAAGACCAGAATTGGTGGAGTAACATGGTTAATTGAAACACAATTAAAATATTTTTGGCTAACATGTATACAAAAGAATTCTCTAAACTCAAGGTACTTTACTATCAATTAAACAACATAATTCTCCTTCCTAATGAGAATCTAGTCTATCACTCATTTTTAGATATTTGTAGTAATTGTAAGAAATTCTAGGATGAATTCTTCCTATTGCTGTGAACAAAACTTACTCTGGAAACCAGTAGGGCACTGAAGGAAAAGAAGTCAGAAAAGTGAAAGCAAAATGAAACAAAATTAAAAAGAAATGTTTGCAAGGATGAACTTTCTTTAAATACTGAATTTTTAGGTCCATACTTGAAAAAAATGGATAAATGAATGTGATCAGGTCACCACTATGTTGTAGAAAATGCCCAATCATGCTTTTTAAAGAAATAAGTAAAAGATCATAATGTTTCAATTCTTATAGTTCTACATAGTACGAACTTCTGTAGCACAGGCAGTGTTTAAAAGCATTGGTGTTCCAAAACTCTGCTGTCAAACAGTTGGTTACTCTGTCGTTATTTAACAGAGCCAAAGGCAACTCCAGCTGTTTGACGGTCTGCCAAAGAGCCAGATGGTGCTATGCAAAATAACTCTACTAGGCTGGTAACTAGGGGCTGCTAGCTACCATTTCAAAAAGTCATAATAATGAGCAACTGACTGAATAACTTCCCTATACCTTTGTATTGTTTTCCCCAATCCCCCATTTTAGACAAGGGTTAGGTACCATTATCTTGTGCAAAAGCATGATCTGAAAAGTTCTCCTCCCATGCAAAAAAAGCATTGAAACCTAAATAGGGTGAGCAAGAGGAGTGTTGCACTTCACTGCCTCAATAGCATGAAGTGCACCATGAAAATGCAGAAGATTGAGTTTGGGAGCATATTGCTTTTGTAGCCTCTAATGCACATGCAAAGTGGTAGAAAGTAGAAATGTAATGTCACGATACCTCAATTAATATGTATTTCCTTTTCCAGAAGGTATGCGAAGTGAATAAACAAAGTTTTATATATTGGTGACCAAAAGAAAAATAAACTTACCAGTCATTCAGATTTGGTCTTTACAACTTGCTGTAAAAATTGACAATATATTTAAAGGCCAGTGTTGAAATCTGATGCATAAAATATGGCTCTGCTTCAGTGTCAGAAAAAATTCTAGCAGCAAGATGACTCAAACAATTCAGGACTGTGAAAACCAGAATTCAGACTTTGGTTTTAAAAAGGTTATAGTTACATACTGAGCAAAAGAATCTGTATTCATCAACTGAATACTAAAGAGGTGGTCTAGAAAATATAACATGAACAGGTTGTATGATAATGAGCACCTGACAAAAGGTAGAGCTGAACTAATTTCCATCTGAAGTTAAACACAGTTAACTTGTATTTAACAGTTTTGCATCACTTTGTCAGTTATGTACATTAACTGTTGCTGAAGACTGCTTATCTACAGCAATTTGGAGTCAACCAGTCCTGAAATAACTCTCTTGCCTCAGTGTCCATTATAAAAAATGGTTTAGTTTTAGTTAATTCAATGTTAAATGTTAAACTATATACAGGTCACTATATACATGTGACCTGCATCAGAATAGTTAGTGGAACTAATACAGTGCCAGTTCTGAAACTGTATAAGCTTGTGGAAGTATAGCCAAGTGTCTGACTCTTGCTTATACTACTGAACAAATGCTTCTGAAAGAATAAATTATGAAACTGCTCTGACAGCTGACTTGGAAACTTAATCAGATTCATTTTTGTGGAGAATTTAAAGAAATCTTTCATTGCAAGCATTCTCTTTCTATTGAAAAATAGCCTGGAGGAGTGAGGAAAGCTTTCATAGGCTTAGTTCCAGAACCATACCAGTACAGGTTCACTTTTGAGTACATGTGTTAGTGAAAATAATATATAGTTTGTAGTAACACTGTTCATTACTAAATTAGGCTATCAGCAGAACTAGCATGGCTTATTTTGTCTTAACAAGCACTTCAAAAGAATTGTTTTTGCCAAATTTAATTGCCCAATATTTCATTGAAAACTTAATGAAGAGAAATGCAGTAACTATTTCTGTAGTTCTGTTCATTTCCACGTGTCTTTGGGATTCCTTTGCTGTGAAAGAACACCCAACCGATAGAGTTTTTAAAGGGCATTTAATTGTCTCATCTGCTAGGCTTTAGAAAAGCAGTGGTATCTTTTTTCAATGTTTTTCTATGACCATGCATACCTAAATGTTCAATCCCTCTTTGAAGGTCACGGAAGAGAGACATTGTCTGCACACTTAATCGATTAAATATTTCTAGGCTTTGCATGCCTCACAGGCTAACAAGGCACTGTATGAACAAATCTGTAATTAGTGAATTTGCTTACGATGCACCATAGTTCATTCTTCATACGTAGAAGAATGAAAGTTAGTTTGGTTAGGCTTAAAGCACTAGTGTAATTTAGAAGGATTCCACTGTACTTCAACTGAATGGATTCTATATATAGTTATGAAATTCCTAATATTCCATTTGCAGTTTGAATTAATGTAAGTTTTCAGCTTAATTCCTAGATATATTTTCTCCTACTAGTATTTTTACTAGCTTAAATTCTTATGGAGAAACCTGCTTTTATATAATTAATGTGGAACTTTCATTTTACAGTACAATATTTAAACTACTGGCAGTGTCGGAATCCTGGTTTTAGGTGATGGGACTCTGAACCTGTTAAACTTCTTTACTTATTAATTAACTACTATTAGAAAATCAAAGGGTGTTTTTATTCTCTCTGGTTACACCTCAAGGCAATCTTCACACATCCCAAAATGATTTTTCGTACTAATAACATTGTGGGACTACTTCAAATACAACTAGACTATAGCCTGTTACTGGAAGTAAATGCCTAAAATGAGAGTAGATATAGTAAGCAAGAGTTTAATTTAGCTCTGTTATTCATTAGTTATTCCCCAAACAGCCAGGAAAAAAATATTTCAGATCTTCAGGGTGTGATAAGACTAGTTTCTATGTTATTGGACTCTGCGTTTAGCATATGCACTTGTCTTGGTGCTTGTACAATTTAGATGTCTGCAGAACAGTCTTAAAAATAGTAAAAATGCAGTGGGTTTGCAACTGGACTTGAATCAAAAATGGGGAGAAACCTTGGAATATGATCAAAAGAATAAACAACACCAAATAGTGTTTTTAATCTTGTACTTTTTTTCTTAAAATTGTAAATTGAAGAAATTCAAATACCAAAGTGTGTGGGAGGGAAAAGATGGTATAAGATAAGAATTGGGCTGATATGCAGAATTTTGTGATCTGTTTTGTGAATGGAAACTGCAGGGATAATCTATGGAAGGAATAATAGCATAGAACCAACTAGGTGCACAATAGCTGGAAATTCCTAGAGATGTAGCTATTATAAACATAACTTTTAAAGTAATCAAGTGCATCAATAACCTGACTTAAATACTGTGAGATTTATTATGCTGTAAATCCTGCAGTACTTATTTACGTATCTTTTGTTTTTCAATTACTTTATTAAAAGCCGATTAACTTCTGCTTTTCAGAACAGGCACGCTGCGCAACTTGACAGCACCATGCAACGCTAACTGTGGATGTTTGCGCTCTATGTACTACCCAGTGTGTGGCAGGGATCGAGTTCAATACTTTTCTCCCTGTTTCGCAGGATGCAAATCATATCTTGTTGATAGCAACATGACAAAGGTACTTTATGCAATGAATATAGCTGACGTAGTCTGTTCTGTTCTGGTTTCCTGCAAAATGCATTGTATTTCAAAAGCATCCTTCCCTTAGTATGACAGGAAATTGCAGTATTTATGAATCTAAGTCACAGTCACTACAAGAAAAACTGTTGTTTTTTTTTAACTTACCAGTTCAAGTGGAATGAATACTGGTATGTGTCACAGTCCAATACACTCTGACCAGGTGCTCTTAGACATTCCACCTGTAGAGGTGTAATGTTTAATACCAAATTTTCTTGATAACAGTTGATGTTACATGGGATTTATGATTTAACAGAGTGATGCAAAATATGCTAAAAACACAACACAAATGTAAGTTACCTTTAGCAAAATACGATTGCAATACACAGTTCAGTTATGGTACCAGTGTGACTCCGGTTGCTGCTCTCTAATATGTTCACTGTCACAATGCTGGGCTTCCCCAGTTGTTGGGAAGGCATATGAAGCCAGCTCAAGCCTATTGCTCTCTGATTTTTTTCTGGTAGTTGTCTGGCTTTTTATGCTTTATGTTGGGGCTGAGCCACACTTCCCAGCTCCCCATGCTGGTCTGGCTAATTTAGAAAAACATTCCCACTCTCTTAATGAACTCAGGCAGAACCATTTACACCACTGGTTGATTGACTCAGCTGTCACAGCTTTTTCTTTTCTGTATGGCATTCTTTGCAACAGCTCTGGTCATTCACAGCCTGCATTGTTCTGGGAGCTTCCTGGGCACATCTCTCTTTCCCATCTCCTCTGAGCTTCTTCCCTGGTAGGGGTTTATTGGTCAGTCACAGTGTTTCTCACTTGTGTGGTGATGTCATTTTGCAAATATTACTTCTCCTAGACATTCTAATGCTGAAAATAAGTTAAATCTAAATGTACTTTAATAGAATTGTCAATCAGAAAACTAGAAATCAGCAACTGTTTTGACATTACCTGCAGTTCTTTTCTACTCGATATTAAACTAGTTTAATACTGCTTCTGTGAAGTTTTTAAAACTTGAATGTCAGTTGCCCCGATGCAGGAATGGTAAGCCATGAAATTGGCTGGTTATCAAGCCCTTCCAGAACTCAGAGGCTTTCTGTGCTTGTCTCTACTAGTATAACAAACTCTTGAGCAGGGATGTGGGAGGAGTGTAGGAAGATTCTAAAGACATGCAATCACCTGGGTACTTTTTATATCAGAAAAGGACAGTGGTAAATGAGGAGGTATTATCCATAAGAAAATATAGGAGACTGACTGCTGCTTGCTATGAAAACTTCACATTTCACTGACATGGGGTTTTTTTCTTAGAAAACAAACTTGTGTGGATTTAAAAGAAGTGCATGTTCCAGTTGTTCCCCTGCTTACAAAAGCAGTCCAATATAGCTTCTATTGTTTCCTGCTTAAGTCTTAAGAGTAGAGCTCACCTCTCTCCCTGCATATGATTTGCCTTTAACTTTAAAATCTTTAGTTTCAAGGGTTTTTTTTTATGCTTGCAGCTAAAAACTTGATACAAAATGGAGACTGTCGCTGTCTTTTTAGGTCAAAAAAGCAATAATAACTTTTGCTCAGGTGAGATGGATCACTCAAGTTCCGATGAACCACTTTTAAAAATTAGGGTTAGTGTCATCAGGAAATGGACTGTTTCCCTTATAATAAGGTCAAGGTTTATTCTTGTGTGATGCAGATCCAATGAATATTTACCAAAATAATGCCATTTTGTGTCTTTCTTGGAACTAAATTTTGTCTTATATATTTGTAGATATACCACAACTGTTCCTGTATTGGGAAACCAATAAGAGAAAATGGTTCAGAAGACTTTCTCTTTGAAGCTATCTCTGGGAAATGTCCAACACAATGCAGATTTTTACCTTTATTCTTGACGATCTTCTTTTTTGCTGTAGTTTTTACATTTATGGCTGTTACTCCAACAACTGTGGCCATTCTCAGGTACGTTTTCTGGGCTGAAAGACAGGTAGCATTCTTGTGAAAATTCAGATCAGTGAAATATTTTTATTTGTTTTGCTTTGGAATGTGTACTTCAACAGGAAATACCTTGCGCATTGGTTTAAGTACTCTGTGTAGTAAGCAGGCAGTGCTTGAAAGAGAGCAGAGTCATACAACTGTTCACTTTCTCTCTAATTACATTTGATTAGTAGATATGGTTTGAATCTATTAAAATTTGCCTGTTTGTATCAGAATCCTTCTTATGGGAGCACTCTTGACTGTTTTAGTTAAAGCAAGAAGGAATAAATATGCCATGTGTTTGAATGAAGAAAATGTTTGACTAACCTGTGTATCAATAGTGTCAGGTCTTCAAATTGTATCAAGAAAAGAATAAAACAACCAGTCTTGTATTCTCAACCTTTGTTTCCTGTCTCAATTCAGAGTTCTAGCTTGAAAAATTGACCTGTCAAAGTCTATGGACTACCTTTCATGGTATTGATGTTGTATGTATGGTGGTCACAAATATAAAATGTGATAGCATGTATGTTTATCAGTGGTTTCGGTTTGTTTTTTGTGTGTGTTTTTTTTGTTTGTTTTGTTTTGTTTTGTTTTTTTTATTTTACAATGTGGTCCTCATTCTGGGTGTAGGGCTGTTTTCCTGTATGATGAAGTCTGACTTGTACCTCTAATACTTCTAGAGAGAAAATACCCATGATGCATAGGCATACATGCAAAATACACATGATGCTTTGTGAAGTTGTGGCTAGATGCTCTTTGGCAGGGGCTTGAGGGCATAAATGATACACTGCAACAGTGCCTTATAATAGCCTCCTGTTCGGGGTAGGTGTAAATTTGGAATTAACACCTTTTCATATTAGTGTGGGGGCAGAATAATATGAAGTGTTGCATTATCTTCAAAACTGAACTGATGTAGTTTTATTTTGATAATTCTAAGCAGCAGCATTCGGATATTTGAATCCTTGCACACTTCAGCTAAAATAGCGAGACTGTTTTTATGGAAGAAAGGACTATAGAGTATTTTAAATGTTCAAAACCTAAGTTAAATAGCTAAATGTCGGGTAAGTTTTACAATATATTCTGATATCTTTTCAGCTGGCTTATTTTGTGCAACTTTAAATGTAAACTCACATGGTCATGACAGTGTTCTAGTGCTAGATATAGTGACCTGCATGATGTAAAACTCATTCTCCTTTACTTATTGCCTTTTGGGTATTGGGGTCCTAACACTGACTGCTATAACTGCTCATCTTGGATGTTTTGTGGCTAATCCTCATACATTCTCCAGAATGTGAAAATAACTTCTGAATATGTAAATATGATATTTTTCAATATTGATAAAGTTTATTAAAGAAAAGACATGTTACAGTTTATTAAAGAAAACAGTTCTGAAACTAAATTCTATAAATGAAGCAAATTAGGTTGTATTTAGCCTTTATAGTAGTATCGTTGGGACACTGTCATAAAAACATGTTTGTTCCTGGAGAAGTATCAGAAAAAAATGGGTAAGAGGTAAGGAGGTAAATTTTGCTAGTTACTAAATCACTATATTGATTTGTATAGCATAGGCCAGAATGGTTTAATTATAAAGTTAGGTAACTCAAAGGTTATGAGAATACAACATGTGCTCTGCTGAAGCCTGGTCTCAATTCATTTAGTGCTTCTTTAGGAATAGTAGCTCAGGATTACAACCTAGCACTTGTTTTCCTTGGTTGTTCTATGGAAAAAAAGTTCAACAGTATATCAGGGTGCTGGTAACAAGCTACCTTTTTATTTATAATGTTTGTTAAACTACTTAAATCTAAAATTTCTTGATGGGCTATGGGATTTTTCTCAGTCTTTTTGTCTAAACAGCATTTGAAGTAGTTTTGTTACTTGTTCTGCAGGCTGGATTTCTAAACCAAAGCATATTCACTGAGGGACACAGCAGAGAAATGAAACAGTTAAAACTTGTTTACTGTGCCTTAAACTGCAAATCTTGTTACAGGTGTGTGCCACATAAACAGCGGTCATTTGCTCTTGGAGTACAGTTAGTGTTTCTACGACTACTGGGTACGATTTTTTTGTTGCAACATTTGCCTCTGAATAATCTTCTTATTTGACATTTTTTTCTAGACTTTTAAATAATGCATTAAGAAGCTTTCAGAGGAGCTTGAAGCAGCCTGTCATTGGCTTATAGGATACACTTGTTGTAAGGTACCATCTGGATTCAAATTCCTTGTTAAATAGGGCATTTGTGCTCATTGTAGCCTTTCTTGTTCTTATCAGCACAAACCAAATACAGGTAACTGTCATTCAGCTAAAGGCACCTGCTGTTATTTTTGCCCAGAAGAAGGTCTGTTAAGAACGTTGAGATAAGAAAACCTGATGTAATAGAAAACAGCTTCATGAAGTTAACATCTGAAGATCCAGAAGTTTAAAGAAAGTGACTGTCATACACTTGTATTCTTATTGCCCATGCCAGTATATTTTAAAGTGGATAGATGGAGTCTTCCCTCCTCTCCCTTCCTTTAAAATTCCTTTGACTAATTTTGGCATTTATTGAAATTGTAGACACTTGTACATAAATAATTACTGAGTTTTAACGTGGGAAATGTAACACTTCTAAATCTAAGCATCTTCAGCATCTCGATAAGACAGATGAATCACCTTAAGTAAAACAAAACTAAGTGTAGGTGTATTTTGATCTGATCCACACTGACCTGAATTTTTTGAGGCATATTTTAAGTTCTTGCTTTTGTAATAGACAGTTTTTAAATGGCATATTTAATTCAAGACTGGGACAAGACACGGTTACTTATTTGACTTTTATGTCAACATTTAGTACTGCAACCATTCCTTCTCCTTTGAAATCAAATATCTAAGTGTGAGTTCTGCTTTGCTCTACCAGTTGAAACCTCAATTAGTCTAAGTCATTCTACTAATACAGCATAATAAAAGCAAACATCCTCACAGGTAAAAATTAGCTGGGAGGTAGTGTTGGGTATTATATGAGGGCTTCTCTGTGTCATTTCACTCAAACTTAAGATATTAATGTTAGTCTAGACTCCTAATTTCACTGTGGATGATAGAACTTTTTGCACTGCCTGTACTAGGACTGAAGAACTGCAGCAACTAACAGCATTACTTAACAGCAGCTGCTGTAGACTTGAGGAATCACACAAAGGTTCTAGGCAGAAGACCTAGTGAGGACATAGCTACTTGTTAGCTCTAGGACAATTTAGGGCTTGGGTAGGTTAGGTAGATATACAGTGATGTACCTGGGGTGTTCATTATAAAATTGGCTATACCTGGATGCAAGACACTTGTGCTTTATAAAACACTGCTGTGACAAAAATCACAAAGATCTAATAAAATCTACACAGGAATAATTTTAAACACTGCTTTTTTTTTTTTTTTGTGAAATTTTTTCCTGGAAGCTTGGCTACATCTGAGGGATGGGAAGACATAAGTAGCTGAAAATACTAATATTTTAGTTCTCTACATTTGGAACAAGTTAATGAATATGATCTGAAGGAAGACTTTTAGTTAAAATCCTGCTTCCTTGATTAGCTGCTTTCACCCCTGATTTAAATCACTTTATTTTTTTTCAGTGAAAACTGAGGAAGCTTCAAAAAACTCAAGTCTTTGAACAAACTTCTTGCTTGATAAAGTGAGAGCTGTATAGAGAATTAACTGGCACTCTATGCATCCTACCTGTTAATTGAGAGCAATGTTTAGGTACACACTTGCTGTGTACTATGAGCCCCATGACTTTGTTTAAAATATTCTGTTTAGTGTTTGGTTCTCCAGTTTTATCTTCGCACCAGTTTGGCATTTCACTGTATGCACAAAGGCCAGGTAAGACTGTTTCAAGTAATTCAAACATTCTAACATTTTACTGTATTTTTTAGGTACTATTCCTGGGCCAATTTTGTTTGGTGTTTCTATAGACAGCAGTTGTACTCTGTGGGATATCGATGAATGTGAAACTAAAGGAGCCTGCTGGGTATATGATAATGAAAGAGTAGTTTATCTGCTGATGGGCATGAGTAAGTAATTTCTTTATATTAAGTCTGTGTACAAGGTAATAGATATACTGACCCTGACTGCTAGATGGGAATTATTTTAAAACAGAACCTTACACTTTTAATTTTTAGCAGCAGTGTTTTAATTTTTTTTTCATAAATAATAAAAAGCAAAATATTGTGCAAGGAGAAAGACAACATTAAGTGACTCTTTAAAGGTTACTTAGAAAATATTTTAAATAATAATACAAAAGAGTTTTGCTCTTTAGTTTTCCTTCATTGTCACACTTTATGTACTGAATTTTAAGGGACTGGCACACATCTCAGTCTGGCCATAAAGATGATTAGGAACACAAAGATGATTAGAGGGATGGAGCACCCCTCCTATAAAGAAAAGGCTGAGAGAATCGGGATTGGTCAGCCTAGGAAAGAGAAGGCTCCAAAGTGAACTTATTGTGGCCTTTCAGTACCTGAAGGGGAGCCTACAAGAAGGATGGAGAGGGACTTTTTGTCAGGGAGTGTAGTGATGGAACAGTGGGTAGTGGATTTAAACTCACAGAGGGTGGGTTTGGGTTAAATATTAGGAAGCAGCTCTTTACTGAGAGAGAGGGTGGCCAGGCACTGGAACGGATTGTCCAGACAAGTTGTGGATGCCCCATCCCTGGAAGTGTTCAAGGCCAAGCTGGATGGGGCTCTGAGCAACCTGGTCCAGTGGAAGGTGTCTCTGCCCGTAGCAGGTTGCTGGAACTAGATGGTCTTTAGGTTCCCTTCCAACCCAAACCATTCTGTAGCTATCTGGGTTGTGTGTTGAAAGCTTAAGGTCTGAGGAGCTTTCTTCTTCTTGTCATATTTCAGTTCTTTTCTCTAAAGTATATAAAGTTCTTGTAACTATCTCTGAACACTGGTCAAAAAAAATTCCCAACTTGTTTAAAAGTCTGTTCCCTTCAACTATGTGAACTGTGTGTGCCTGTGGGAGAGAAGACAGGGTAAGCTTGCATCTGTGATAACTGTTCTTGTCATGTCTTCTAGGTACTTACAGTGCATAAACTGAAGTACCAACATCTAATCCTGAAACTGAAAAAGCAATGGTCACAAGGCCAGGTTTCAGTATCTCCCGGGCATGTTTATGATAAAATACAATCCCTTCTGCTTTCTCCTTCCCCTGGCCCCCCAAGTTGCACAAACACCTGTATATAACCTTTTAAGGTAGCTGATGAGAGAACTCTTAACAGGCATTCTATGTGGGAAGTTCTAGTTTGTGAAAAAGAGACTACTGATACAGCAAATGACAGTACTGAAACAAGGAATGACTTGCACTTCAGGCTAGAATGGGGTGAGGAAATACAAAACTGAAGCAAATGCAACAGCTGCTGCAAACAGAAACTCTCAGGCTGGTGAAGTTCAGTTGAAAGACTGCCTTTACCTGCCCTTTGCAGTTCATGTAAAATACATTTAAATGAATGCTGTGCATTTCAGAGTCTTACACTGTAACTCATCTTGGGAAACTTTATAAATGACTGAAACACTTTTTGCTACTGAAAGTGAATGCAATAAGGACTCTTCTATTCTTTGCATTCAGGTGCTGCTTGCAAAATCATCACAATCGTCTTTGTGGTCCTGGCAGTGTATTTCTACAAGCCTCCACCACTGAATAAAGCACTGTCGCCAAAGGATGCAGAAATGGTATCTGCTGTACACACATGAATTATGAGCAAATCAGGGACTTTTGAAAGAAACCAGTAAGAATAAGCACTTTTACAACAGTTGTACCAAAGTTCTTGTACACCCTTGCCTGAATATAAAAGATCACATTCAACATCTGAGCAACTTAAAATATTTGTGAACCTGTAGTGTTCTTTAATTTGCTAAACATTGCTTAGTATTCCATTGAGTATATCCAAAGAAATGGCACTTTAATTTGCAGTCTAATTTAAAAAGTCTAGTGTGTAACTTAATTGAAACAAGTTGCTTACTCTGACTGAGCCCCACTTACCTCTATTCGTAACTGTAGTGGGAGAAAACAAGTAACTTGGAATATTAAAGGGAACTATGTATGTTCTAAAAGGATTTATTTTAATGTGCTCATAATCTGGGCTAGTGCCTTTGGGGATGTTTTTCTATAGCAACACTTGGGAATATGCAAGTTTGGCCATTTTAAAAATATTTCTACATGTTATTTTAATGGCATAAGTTCACTTCATAGTATTGCAGGAAAATGTAAATGGTTATAATATGTTAGCTGGGTTGTAAAATCAAAATATTGCTTAATTTGAGTGTTTGAGTTTCTATCTGGAATATATATAGAAAGTTGCTGTTCAGCTGATTTATTTAAACATTTTTAAAATGTTTCTGTAAAATTTGAAGAGAAAACCTATTTTCTTACAATTTCTGTGTATGCGCTGTCACTGCCAAATGACTGAGTTCTAGGCTTCTCAACTCCAAGAAGCACAATGCTGAAAGCTAGCAAGAATGTGTATGGAAAAATCAGAAGTAGAAAAATATAGCTTTAGTTTTTCTTTTTGACATAATAAGTAGTTATTCAAGCTGTATTTGTATAGCACAACAGAAGTGATATACAAGTCAACCACTGTTACCAGACATTAAACTAGTGCCTGCTACTGAAATATCATTCAATGTTGACAGGAAATTTTTAATGAGCCAGATATCCCATATGTTTGTTTTACTTTGTTAATAAACACTTCTTTTTTGTTGCACTGGCTGTGCATGTCATTCTTATGTAGCTGTGTGCGCCCTCTTCATTGTGTTACAAGGACTGTACTCAGTGACTCTACCAAGATTTTTGAACAAGTGCTACAACAAAGGATTATGGCATATGGCTCATGCTTCATCTAATTCTTTAAATGTAGCTGTTAAATTAGGTAAATGTTAAGTGTGCAACTCAAGAAGATCCTCTGTAACTACTTGTAAATTTTATTTACAGGAAATATTTTATTCAAGAAATAAAGCAAAATCAACTACACCCTGTAACACAACACTTGAGGTCTCTTGAGGGAGAGAAGGAAAGGGGCAGAATTTGCTTGCTCCATATAGCTGAATGTCTCCTGATAAGGTCTGTGATTCATTCCTGATAAATGGGCTCAGAGCAAGATTGGTAAAATCACTTGAAAGAATGAAATAGAGATCTTCCTTAAAGTTTGGGAATGCAGCCTAAAATTCTGAAATAATTTTCATTTTCTAGCTCTGAAATGGTTTGTGTGAGGTATAGCAAATCACTTAATCATAGTAAAGACATGTAGTACTGTAGCTCAACTGTTAAACTTGCTTCTCTTGCTTAGACTGAGACCATAATTTACGCTTTCTGCTGCTGAATGTGGTTGCACAGACTACAAAACCTGGGGGGCAGAGTAACCAGAGTTTTCTCTTCTGAGGAGGTTACTCTTACTTGCACTGGAGTGGTTATTTGGGTGGAGAAGGAAGGAAGCATTGCTGTTGTAATTTATAACCGATCCTGTGACTTGTTAAAAATAATGTTTGCTACTTTAGGAGTAGCAGCATAAGGACTAGAAAGACAGACCAAATAGAAGTGTACTGATTTACCTTGTGTCATAGCCATATTAAATTAATAGGTACAGCAATAAATAGTGGAGGAAAGTAGACGTTGTGTCAAAGGTTTTTACAAAGTGAGGGTAAACATCACAGAGAAGTGCATCTGATGTGTGTGGACAGGGAGGGGTGAATTAAAAACTGCCCCTATGACTGTGCCTGGAATGTCAAAGCACAAAGTCCAGTTTGAGTCAAGTCACTGGTGCTGAACCCCACAGATCAATTCTGGGGCCAGTACAGTTCAGCCTCTTCCTTAATCACCTGAATGATGGGATAGACTGTGTTTTAGAGAAGTAGCTAATAGACTGGGTGTTTGCTGCCCTCTCCAGAGGGACCTTTAAAATATTGAAAAATAGGCAAATAGGAACCTCATGAATTTCAACAGGGAAGTACAAAGGCCTCCACCCAGGAAGAAATAAACCCCCAGGTTATTTTGGAGGTGACTACCCAGCTGGAAAGCTGCTGTTCAGAGAAGGCCCTTAGGTTCATGGTGGACAAGCTGACCACAAGACAGTAATACACCCTTTCTGCAAAAAAGGCCAATAATGTCTTGGGCTACATTGGGCAAAGCACTGGCAGCGGGTCAGGGGAGGTGATCCTGCCCTTTACTCGATGCTGCTGAGACCATACCTGGAGTGCTGGATCCAGTTCTGGGCTCTCCAGAACAAGTGTATTACAGACTTACTGGATGGGCTGTGGTGCAAGGCTACAGAGATGATTAAGGGGTGGGAATATAATTCCTACTGAGAGAGCTGGGGAAGCTCATTTTAGCCAGCAGAAGATCAGGCTCAAAGGGTTCTGAGCCTTGAAGAGGTGGAAATCAGACTGTTATTAATTCCTAACTCTATGGACAAGAGGCTGTAGACACAAAGGGAAACATCTGAAATTTCCTCTGAACGCAAGAAAACATTTATTAACTGTGGGAGCGGTCAAATATTGGAACAAGTTGCTCAGGAATTTGTAAAGTTTGCCATTCTTGGAGGTGTTTAAAACCTGAATGGACATAATCCTGAATATTCTGGCTGACCTTCCCTAAGCAGAGGGTTTGGACTACATCACCTCAAGTGTTCCCTTCCAACCGAAATGGTTCTGTGTTTCTGTGAGATGCTCCCCAGTGTGGCCTTTGTCCTATTAACTGTATGATGTGTAACTTCTATATGTGTTCTTACAAAGGAAGACCTATCTGTCCTTGAGCAGTGTTTTTTGATTCCTTTTTTTTTTATTGATTTTGTTGCTGTTTCTTTTTTTTTTTTTTAAAAACTATCAATCAGCTTGTTTCTCATATTAATACTTAGCAGCTAATACTCTGTGTATGTCTCACTGGTTGATATTAGTTCTTTTCTTGCTGTAAGGGGAGTACTTTTGAATTAGATGATCAATGGAGCATAGAGGCGTGAGAAAGAAATCATATTAGGATGTGAAACCAGCTAGAGTATGGTACAATGTAACTTCATGGCACAAGCTAATTGTAAGGTCCATTGTGCTTTTTAGCAAGTCAACCTGATATCCCCTATTATCAGAGCTGAGTTCTTCCTTGGTTTTGCTACATATTGCAAGATAGATACATCTACCCTTGAAACACAATGGTAGAGGTCATACATAGGGGTGAGAAAGATGATGGTGAGAGGAAGATTATGTGGGCAGGGGTCACTCAACCCTTGCCCCACAAGTAGGGCATGCGCAGACTGTTGCCATTAGGCAATGATTAGGCGGTGTTTGGCTGCCATTCAGGCATCACCTTATACTGCGTACTGGCCCTACGTAGTATAATGTGGAACTGATAAAAACGGGGTGTCAGGACTGCTGAGTCGAGTGATACTCATCCTACCATCAAGACTGTGTTGCTCCGCGGGGACGCCCGCTAAGCATGGGTACCGACCAGCTGCTGTAGATCCTGGTAGTCCTGACCTATCTGTGTGGGGAAGCACAGTTTTTTGATAGGAAGCAACCGAGAGAACAAACTTTTTAACCTTTTAATCCTTTTAGTATCCCTTTAATTCCCCTTTATTATTGAATAAGTTGTTCATAGTATTTTCCCTTTAATTTCCCCTTTTACTAACCTATATCGTGTTAATAGTTATCCATAATATTGTGTTAAAATCCCTTTTTTGGCATCCCTTTTTATTAGTTAAGATTACACTATATTGAATGCTGTTCGTAGTATTTGTTTTAATGCCACACGATAAGGTAGTTATTTTGTATCTCTTTAGTTTTTGGTGTGTTTTTTTTTTTCCTTTCACTAAGTTTATTGTTATTATTACTATTCTCACTGTAATTAAGATATTTTGTGTGTTTGAATATCTGTGCACTTGTTTTATTCCGGGCATGTATCCTAACAAACTGTTACACTTGCTAAGAGTGATAAAACATTTCAAACTGAAGTTGACAGTCTTTTGTGATTCGTACATGGTCTGTGAACTACTGTTCAGATTGCTTGGACTGCTAAATTTAGGGACTCGTATCTTTGAGGTTGTGTCAACAACCACAGATTTGGGGTTTAAGAATTTCAAATATTGTCCAAAATGAGGGCGATTTAAAACTTTTTGAAAGTTGTGTCTTGTAATGAGCATGATTATTTTTAGAAACATATCCCAGTGCAAACGAGGCTATCCCACTAAACATTGTAGTAAAACAAAAAATTTAATTCATCTGTGAACCAGAAGTAAGCTTCTAAACCTAAGTATATTGCCCTGTATGTCTAGTGCAAATGAATTCTCCAAAACTTTATTGGAGCCTCTGCTCAGTAAATCTGTAAGATTCCAGGATCCTTACAAGGAGGTGACAGTAATTAGCTATTATAGTTGAGACTAAACTTCTAAACTTTTTGTTGTGGTGGTTTTTTTAATCTTAAAACCAAGACTGCAAACTGTGTTCTCTGTCTTGAAGAGGAAGGACAATGCTAAGGTAATCTCAAGATCTGTTTGGACAGTGAAAGCTGGAGCCCCTGTTAAAATAAGCGAGTTCTTTTTATTTTAGAACTTTTCCAAAGTGAATAGCTTAACACCAAAATTCACTTACCATGGCAAGAATACATTCTTTCTGGCATCATGAATACTGAGAGAGGGGGAAATAGGAATTTTGTTTTGCATGTGGCTACCATACTTATCATTACTTAAAAGTAATATTTTGTATGTATACCTGGTTCGTGGAGTCTTTTTGCACATGGTTAGAAATATCTGAATAAAATTATTGAAATGTATTGATTGTAAAAAGAGCAGACCAAAGTACATCTATTGGCAGATTATGGACAGAAACATAGGAACCTTAGGAATGCTGCAGCTTTTTAGCTGTTTTTACCAGCTTGAAGTTCAGTTGCTGACCATTACTGAGATGATGACAGTAGCACTTACACTGCTTCCTGGTTTAAAATATGTTACAGGGAGATCAGATGCAAGTAAATGTAAGACAATTACTGAAAAAAAACATCTTTTAAGTCTGAAAGCCTTTAAAAGGTTTTGAATTGAGCAATATTTCTGTTTAGCAATCAATGACTATAATATACTTATTTAATCTTTTGTTAGAGTAGCAGAGCATACAGTTATGATATAACATAAAACTGGGATGAGGATTTTGTGTGTGTGTGTGTGTGCTTTTTTTCCCACCCACCAGATGGCTCTGTTTCTGCTAAAAAATATCCAATTTTGTTGGTTTTTGTATGGAACATTATGAGTCTTTAAAACACCGAGCAAACAATATGCAGCTTTTGCAAAAATATTCTGTTAATGGAAGTGTGACTGGTGCCTTTTGTCTGCTTGATTTCTGGTTTTGCAGTGGCAGTGACTTTCTTTTTGTGGTAAATACGTGAATATGCCTGTTTGTGATTTATTTTCTTTTTATGACATGTCCATGAAGCATGATGCAGCTCTACTTTTGTATGGATCCTTGTGGAGTTTTTTTGCTGAAAGACAGAGATCTGCAGGTAAAAAAGATCAATGTTAGATTAAAGAAGCTTTAAAAAAATACTGAGGAATACAGTTAATCTTGTGTCTCAGTAATAAATGATGCAAAAAATCCGGAATAAATTATTTGTCTGCGCTTCTATGGAAAATATACCCAGAAAAGGGAGTCTGCTATACAGGAATCTTATGAATTTGGGCAGCTTATTGGATACCTTTCCAAATCTGTATAATGGGAGTGTTGGTGACTGGTT